ACAGATACCGGGATGTTTTTCTTTATGCAGAGGGTAATCAACAACTGGCCAGGAAAGGCGGTAAAGACCAGGACGCTGGACTCACTTAAATAGCAGCGTGATACTGTGAAGGGCAACAGTAGGGTGGGTTTTCTGGATGGATGAAGCCCTTCTTCATCCAAACCAATCTTAGGATCCCAGAATCCTGTGAAATCTACAAAGCAGCCTGGCTAATCGTGTAAAACTTTATTTGGTTTCATGCAAATATTTTACAAATGGATTTTCAAATAAGCATTTTAAAAACCTCCAAGTTAATAAAACAATATGAGGGGTATATGGGGTGGGAAAACATATTCCAATTGCCAGTTATAAGTTATTGTCCATTTAAGAAGGATTTTGTGCAGTTTAGTAGTCATTGCTGTTAACACTTTTTGAAGAGGTTCAGATTGTTTCAATATTATATTAGGGACTGTTTCCCCTGGTAGGAGAATCTACAACCAGGACTCACAGTCTTAGAACAGAGTTCAGGAAACATTTCTTCACTCAGAGGGTAGTGAATTCAATTCACTACCCCAGAAGGCTGTAGATGCTCAGTCCTTGAACATTTTCAAGGCTGAGACTGATAGATTTTTAAAAAGTAGAGGGATTAGGGGATATGGGGATAGGACAGGTAATTAGAGTTAGGTCAGAAGATCAGCCATGATCTTATCGAATGGCGAGGCAGTCTCGAGGGGCCGAATGTCCTACTCCTGCTCCTAATTCTTATGTTCTTATGTTCTAATTATGTTAATTCTGCTTCACCATCGTACCTCACTACAGGAAAGATTTGCCACATATAGGGGTATAATATAATGAAACACATCAATACTGAAACAGAAATATAACAGTGATGTCTCAACATAACAGCGATGGTGTTATTTATGTTATATATTCAGTGCTGAGCAGTGGAGAATCTCCTTGCTGGCAATTTTACCAACAAATGAAGTACATGCTACTATCAAGGGTCAATAAATTTACCAACAAGAAGAAAATAATAGCCAGATTACTATTAGCTATATGTGGGATTTTTACACTATTGAAACATTCGCTGTGAATTTTGCAGCTGTTGCTTTAACAAGAGGTTATTGTTAGTGCTGGTACTATGTATTTTAGTGACATTTCAATTTCAAGCCCTGTTGAATTATTGCATTGGCTATAGAGCACTTGCTTTGCAAGCGAGAGACCTGGGTTTGATTCCTCGCAGGGTGAAGCCTTGGGCAAGTTTCCTTACTCCACACGCCTGATAATAAACCCTCAAAAAAAAAAAAAATTGGTCATTTCAATCCACGACTGTTTGTGGGACACTGCTTTGTGCAATTGGCTGCCGCAATTCACCCACAAATATATAATCAATTCACTTTACTATCTATTCTGTGAAGCACTTTGAGATGTCTAGAAGACGTGAAAAGCGTTATATCAAATGCAAGGATTATTATTTTTATTATTATTATTATTAAACTGTTGAAATTCATCAGCCTGGCCTGACTGGCATATTTTCACATTAGCAGGAATTCATATCTAGTAATTAGGGATAAAATGGTGCATAACAAGAGGTCGCAGATCAAATATCATTGAGATTATTATTTTTTAAATGTTGAAACATGTAAAAATTGTTAATAACATACCCTAAAATTACATACTGTATGTAATGTTATTGCTGCTAATGTAAATTCATTTTAATGAATCCCACCAAATATTCCACTCTTGTGCATTCCACGACTCAAAGCGCTTCACAACGTATACCGTAAAGTGAATCGACTGTATATTTGTCAGCGAAACGCGGCAGTCAATTGTGCACAGCAGTATCCCACAAACAGTCGTGGATTGAGTGACCGAATTTTTTTTCAGGGATTATTATCCCCGGAAAAGCAATCTGCCAATCGACTAAAAACCGGGTTCCTACTGACTGCTAGGTAAACAGGCTTGTGTGGAGAAAGGAAACTTGCCCAATGTATTGCCAAATCGAGGTCCTCTTGCTTGCGAGGCGAGTACTGTAAACACTGAAGCTATAGGACTCCACAGCACCTCATTGACAGATGGTGGAGGGAAGCAGAATAGGTCTATGAATTTATGGCATCCTTTGTAAAATCTGAAGTGAACCTTTTCTTGCTGCAATATGAATTGATAAAGGAATGGCAATAACACACCTAAAAGACAATAAGCAATTCGCCAATATTTTTTTAAAAAGTGGCTATAATAAATAAAAAATGGTTGGAAATAAGTTCACAGTTATCACAATGGGTTTGTGTGACTTTTAAAATTATGTTTAGCTCTCAAGATATATGTAGATTTATGAATCAACTTAAATGTGTTTAACCTTGTAAAATACTCACAGTCAATGTTATTTTCTGTATAATACTCAGACTGATATGTAATAGGATCTCTTGCCTCAGAAAAATGTCATTTCTCATATTCATTGCCGTTCTAAGAATAGCTTGGCTGTCCTTCAAACACACTAATCCTCAATAACAGTAATACCATCAAGAAATGCCATAAACTAGCATATAAACACATGAAAAAGTTCTGTCAGTACAATTTTAAAGAAACCACACAGTACAAAAGAAGACAATTATCAATACTTACTTACTGAGGTTACAGTTAGAATAATTAAAATGTTTCATTAAAAATATTAAATCACTCACTGAGAATGGTTAAAGATCAGGCTGTGTTCTGGGAAGTTATATAATGTAGAATCAGAGAATCAGAAATTTATAGTGCAGAAGGAGGCCATTGAACCTATTGGGTTTGCAATGGCTCTCAGGGTAAGCTGTTCATCCTACATAAGAACATAAGAATGTAAGAATATAAAAAATGCTAGACGAAAAAAGACCAGGGTCCATCTAGTTCGCCTTCCACCTTCTTGGTGGTCATATGCACATATATCCCAAAATATCTATGTACTCTATCCCATGTTATTTCCTTAAAGAAAACTATCTAACATTCCACAAAGTACCACAATGCTGTGAAAGATTCCTTCAATGAGGTCAGTGAGGATCAAGGACAAGACATGGGAATGGATTCAGAATTTTATTGCTGGCTCACATTGTTTTAACCTTCAAGATTTCTTTTAGCTTCCCCCCTTGACAAGTTCTGAAATGTTGTACACTGTCCAGCGCCTTGGGAAGTCCTCCCGATGTGAAAGACGCCATACAAATGTAATCTTGCTGTTGTTGTTCTATACCATCCTTGTGTTTCTAATTCTTGCATCATTTGTAGTACCTTTCAATTATCTCTATTAAACTTAATTGGTAAGTTATCAGCCTATGTGTTACCCTATTGAGGCTCTCTTTGCAAAATCTTTGGTACTTAGAATCATAGAATTATACAGCACAGAAGGAGGCCATTCGGCCCATCATGCCCATGCTGGCTCTTTGAAAGACCTATCCAAATCAATCCCACTCCCCTGCTCTCTCCCCATAGTCTTGCAAATTTGTCCTCCCCAAATATCTATCCACTCCTCTCTTGAGAGTTGTTATCGAATCTGCTTCCACCACCCTTTCAGGCAGTGCATTCCAGATCTGAACAACTCGCTGTGTGTTCCTCTGATTTCACAGTTTCATAGATTCCTCTAACTTGGTGTAATTTGCAAATTAAACTAACTGACACTGGCTCTGCGAATCCAGTTCATTAACTTATAACAACAACATCTTGCATTTATATAGCGCCCTTCATGCCAGACGGTGTCTTGGAGAGCTTAAACAAGGAAAAGGAGGGATTCGAGTACAAACTTCTGAGGCCCTCCGCTTAATATCTTTCCCCATTTTTTGACCTACCTCCCCTAATTAAATACCCTCTGCTTCTTCCCTTCAACCAATTCTGAATCCACTTGCCAGCTATATTGTCAAATCAGTTCAGATCTGCAGATGTCATACTCAAGCTGTGAAGTGCTCAGGTCAGACCACACCCAGACTATGGCAAACTATTCTGGCCACCTTAAGAGAGGAGAGCCACAAAGATGATCCCTCGTGTTAGAGGAACGACGATGAAAAATGATTAGCAAAGCTGGAGCTTGTCTCAGAGGGGCCTTGGAGAAGCACATAACATTTTAAGTGGAATTGAAAAAGTAAACCCAGAACGATAGGATTCACCAAGACAACAGAACAAGAGGACAGAGAGACAATTTCAGGAGAGTCAGCAGAAAATATATTTTTTTACCCAGAGGTTAATTAATGACTGGAACAGGTTGCCGGGGAGGGTGGTTGAATTCTGGATTTAGGCAAACGATTCATTTAAAAAACAATACAGTTTTGATGCTGTGATGGGAAGAAGACAGGAAGGGTATTAGAGAAGGAGGAGGTCAAATGAGCCATTGGACCTTTTCCATCTGAACCAATCTTGTGATGTTCCTTCGAAATAGCTTTACTGATCCTCACGGTCAGGATCAAACCACTGCATGAAATACAAAAGCTGTTGCTGAATGGTTTGTTTGTTAACGGAATGCATTTCATGGAAAATCTGCCGCACGCGATTTACTTTCACAGGTAAATAAATATAAAACGGGGCAAACAACAACAACTTGCATTTGTGCATCAGCTTCATGCAGGGCAGCAGTGGGGGAGGAGCAGTGGTGGGGGCGGGGCGGGGCCGTGTGGGGGCGGGGCTGTAGGGGGGCGGGGCTACGGGGGCGGGGCTGTGGAGGGGAGGAGCAGTGGAGGGGGCGGGGCTGTGTGGGACGGGGCTGTGGGGGATGGGCTATGGGGGCGGGGCCGTGTGGAGGCGGGGCTGTAGGGGGCGGGGCTATGGGGGCGGGGCTGTGGAGGGGAGGAGCAGTGGAGGGGCGGGGCTGTGTGGGGCGGGGCTGCGGGGGATGGGCTATGGGGGATGGGCTATGGGGGCGGGGCTGTGGGGGGGGCGGGGCTGTGGGGGGGGCGGGGCTGTGGGGAAGGGGCTATGGGGGCGGGGCTGTGTGGGGGCGGGGCTGCGGGGCCTGTGGGGGCGGGGCTATGGCTGTGGGGCTGTGACAGTTAGTGCTGTCAGCAGGCGGGGAGGGGGGGGGGAGGCCCAGCTCTGTTTCCATGGCAACACTCGCTGCCCGGTATTGGGGTGAGGTTTGTATTGACTGTGATTTATTGTGTATTAATATCAATATAAATACAAACGTATAAACAATAACAACAGATTAGACAGAGCGGTATCATGTCGCTGTCTCCCGGCACTGCCCGGGGGGGGGGACAGGGCCTTTGGGGGTTTGTTTTGCTGCAGGAATTGGTGCCTGAGTCTGAGCAGAGGGTGAGCTGCTACACACACACACACAGACACAAACACACACACAGACACACACAGACACACACACGCACACAGACACACACAGAGACACAGACACACACAGAGAGACACACAGAGAGACACACACAGACACAGAGAGACACAGACACACACACACAGGCACACACAGAGACACACAGAGAGACACACACAGACACACAGAGACACAGACACACACAGAGACACAGACACACACAGAGACACAGAGACACACAGAGACACAGACACACACAGAGACACACACAGACAGACACACACAGAGACACACACACACACACAGACACACACACACAGACACACACACACAGACACACACAGAGACACACACACACACAAAGACACAGACACAAACAGACACACAGACACACACACAACAACAACAACAACAAGATTCCATTTATAGAGCGCCTTTCACGTCAGGAGGACGTCCCAAAGCGCTGCACAGTTGGGTCATGACCCGAGCAGGGGGGAAATGGTCAGGGTGAGGGGAGGGAAGGGAGGGAGAGAGGAGGGGGGAAATGGTCAGGGTGAGGGGAGGGAAGGGAGGGAGCGAGGAGGAGGAAGAGAGTCGAGAGGGGAGCTGAAGGCTCGGTCAAAGAGAAAGGTTTTGAGACCGGCCTTGAAGGAGGAAAGGGAGGAGGCGGCGAAGGCACTGGGGGATAGAGTTCCAGAGCCTCGGGGCTGAGAGGCTGAAGGCCCGACCACCAATGGTAGGGCGGTTGGGGCGGGGGACGTGGAGCAGACCGGAGCCAGAGGAACGGAGGGTACGGGCAGGTAGGTAGGGGATAGTAGGTTGGAGAGGTAGGAGGGAGCAAGGCCGTGAATGGCCTTGTAGGTGAGGATGAGGATCTTGAAATCAATCCTCTGGGGGATGGGGAGCCAGTGGAGGCGAGCGAGGGTGGGAGTGATGTGGTCCCGAAGCCTGGTGCGGGACAGTACACGAGCTGCAGAGTTCTGAATGACCTGCAGCTTGTGGAGGGAGGTGGCGGGAAGGCCGGCGAGGAGAGAGTTCCCATAGTCCAGCCTTGTGGTGACAAAGGCGTGAACCAGGGTTTCAGCAGCGTGAGGGGTGAGGTAGTGCCGTAATCTGGCGATATTCCGGAGGTGATGGAAGGCGGTGCCAGTTGTGGTGCGGATGTGAGGGAGAAAGGACAGCTCAGGGTCGAACAAAACACACACACAGACACACACAGAGACACAGACACACACAGAGACACAGACACACACAGAGACACAGGGACACACAGAGACACAGGGACACACAGAGACACAGGGACAGACACACACACAGAGACAGACACACACACACAGAGACACACACACACACAGACACACACACACAGACACACACACACAGACACACACAGAGACACAGACACACACACACAGACAGACACACACAGAGACACAGACACACACACAGACACACACACACAGAGACACACACAGAAACACACAGACACACACACAGACACACACACACACACAGACACACACAGAAACACACACACACACAGACACACACAGAGACACACACACACAGAGACACAGACACATGCACACAGAGACACACACACACAGACACACACACAGAGACACACACAGACACACACAGACACAGAGACATACACACACACAGACACACAGACACACACAGAGACACAGAGACACACACAGAGACACACACACACACAGAGACAGACACAGAGACACACACACACAGAGACACACAGACACACACAGAGAGACACACACACAGAGACACACACATAGACAGAGAAACACACAGACACACACACAGACACAAACACAGAGAGAGAGAGAGACACACACACAGACAGACAGCGGCCACGTAGCCAAACACTAATGACGTTTGTTGAGCTGAATCCCAATGTTGTCCTGAACCCGGTGCCAGACGCTGAGCTCCTGCTCTCCTCCCTGTCCAGCCCTCACCCCCCACTGTTGACTGGCTGTTGCCTCTCTCTATCCCCACTTGGCCAGTGGGTGGCTTTTGCTGCCATTCAAATGGCGAGGGTGAATTTACACTAATATGAACACCATGGCATTCCTGGTCTGTAAACACTGACTTCCTTAGTTTTCTGGTTTTAATTTGAGATTACTCATTTATTTCTCAGCGTTTTGCTCGTTCCTCACCGCTCCTTTAAGCATGTTTTTCCCCAGGCGCGGATCAAATCAATATGTGTGTCAGCCTGGCTCAGTTGTAGCACGTTTGCCTCTGAGTCGGAAGGTTATGGGTTCAAGCTCCACTTCAGGACTTGGAATCACATAGTCTAAGCTGACACTCCAGTGCAGTGCAGTGCAGCACTGGGGTGTTGGGGTGGAGAGTTGCATTGTCCGAGTGACGTCCTTCGGATGAGACGTTAAACAGGTCCCGTCTTCCCGTTCAGGTGGACGTTAAAGATCCCATGGCACTATCTGAAAACAGAAGGGAGTTTCTCCCCAGTGTCCTGGCCAATTATTTCCCAAATAAAATTGATCACTCACTCCATGGCTTTTTGTGGGACATTGTAGTATTAAAACTGACTGCTGTGATTTGCCAACAAAATACACAGTCAATCCACTTAACAGTAATCATGATACATTTCACAGTGAGTTTATATTCCTCTAGTTAAATCGTTTTCAGATATTTTTCGGTATTTTGTCACTTTGTTTATTTTTGAGAATTTGCTTATAAATAGAGTATGATCAAAGTTTGATGGATCTGCTGTAATTGTTGGCCAATTATGAAGCCAACAGCCTTGAGGCAGCAAACCAGCCATTGCAGCTTGTATTGGATTGAAAAATCTGTAACAAGTGACAAAGAGCTGAGCTTTTCTCTGCTTTATGAGTTTGTAAACGAGCAGTTATGTATGATACATGTGATAACAGCTGATGTCTTTAGTGTCAAATAAGTATAGTACTTTGCACTGAAGGCCAAAGGAAAATGAACCCAAAGTTTAAAGGACTCAAATCGGACTTTGTGGTAAACATTTCACACCACTGCAGTTGACCATGGAACAATGAAATGAGAGATTGTTCCAGGTTCATGTTTTATTATTAATGCAGATAAGTTTGTAAAAAAAATTCACCCAGTGAGAAGACCAATATTTTCTTTTATTTTTAGGATGTTCAACACTGCTCCGCAACACTTAGTATGAAAAAGCAAATGAACGAGCAGGTCACAAACTACTACACGAATACCAGCTCTTCCAATCTGTTGCAAAAATGCAAAGGAAGCAGGTGACCTGGTTTGCCAATTCGGAGATCTTCAAGGACATCCCACTCTCATTGCATGAGGCCGCCTTCAGAGGAGATGTGGATACATTGAAACATTTAATTGATGATTGTGGGCTGATCTCAAACATTGACAGACACTTGATCTGGTCTGGAGGATCCATTCCTTGCGCACCACTACTGTTAGCTGTAATAGGGGGACATGTGGACTGTATCAAGTTTCTCATTCACAAAGGTGCAAATGTAAACTGTGTGGATGACAGGGGACAGTCGCCTCTTTACATTGCCGCAGTGAATAGAAACTTAAACTGCATACAAATTCTGTTACAGGCTGCTGCCAAACCCAATGGGAGTGCTCACAATAGGTGCACTCCTTTGTTTTTTGCTACCCGGGATGGGGAAGTGGACATCATGAGAGAGCTGATCAACCATGGAGCAGATATAAATTCTGCAGTTCATTTGTCTCCAAAGTTGTACCCAAATACCTTGATCAATACCCCACTGTATATTAGTGTTTCATACAACAAACTAGATTGTTTCAAACTGCTTCTCCAGAGTGGTGCAAACCCAAACTTCAACTGCAAGCGACTAGATGAACGCAACAGATTGCAGAGTTTCTATGGAGAGGTCAGTCTAGTTTTATTTGCTTTATTTATTAGATATTCAGGTTTAAAATTGTGTGAAACTCAAGTGCTCTTTTGCACTGCTTTGAAAAACTTATAAGGAACAAGATGTGCGTCTGTCATCATTATTATGCAGTTCAATTTGTAAATTCTGGGTATATGTTGCAAATGTTGATTAATTCCAATATTTATATCTGGCTATCCATGCAGTGTAGGGTCTGGCCTGCACAGATATGCTGTGCTGCAAGGAATCTCATTTAGAAAATTAATTTGAAGTTTCTATTCAAATTTAGTAAAATAAGACGCACAGCTGTTTGGGGATAAAACTGAAGACCTTTTATGAGGATAGTGGTGGAAAAATCTATTAACTTTAATGGAACAACAGTGTTGAGCCCTTGCCAGATCAACATTAAAGTCCTGTGACCAAAATCAATTTCTCATCCAACCTTAAAGCATTTTAATTTGCAGTTAACCTGGTTGTTAGTCGATTAGCGGATCACTTTTCCGGGGGTAATAATTCCTTCAAAAAAAAATAATAAAGTGGTCACCGAATCCACAACTGTTTGTGGGACACTGCTGTGCACAATTGGCTGGTACGTTTTGCCCACAAAATACAGTCAATTCACTTTACAGTATATTCTGTGAAGCACTTTGAGATGTCTCGAAGACTTGATAAGACGCTATATCAAATGTAAGGTTTACTATTATTATTTGTTACAGAGATGCTTCATGATGTTAATCATAATGTAACTGGTTAACAGTCCTTGCAGAATTTGATAGTAAAGTTCATTTTGGTAAATGGAACTCTACGATTTCTGAAATTCATCAATGTTAATGGCCCAGTGAATCAGAGCTGGCGCTAACATTAGAACTAGCCCCGCAAGTACTCACCCTGGTTTAGCACAGGTTCACTTAGAACGTGGGTTTACTGTGCACCCACTCTATACCAGAGGCTGAGTACACCCAGCTTCCAGCACATACTAAAAAATCGCTGACATTTGAGTTGTCAGATAATATCACTTCCTGTGTATTGTGTAGTGCACAACAAGTGACGTCAGCAGGGACCTGACAATCGGAAATCAGACATTTTTTTCTCAAAGCAATTCACAGGACTTACTATAAAGTGTAGTGACTGTATTTTGAAGGTGAATGTGGCAGCTCAGTACTTGTGTGCGTGTTGATCTCTTTTGTAATGGGGGTCTGCAATTTCTGCGAAAACAATGTTCCTCTTGACCTGCACTAAGTTTTTAAAATGTTACAGTTTAGCACATTGCATTGGATTTATATATGTGTATACATTGGATTCAATGGTCTCCTACTGTGTTGAAGGTAAATGGGCCAATAATATTTCTGATTACTACATTTATAGCGTCCTCTACCAAGTTCTGCTACAAGCCTTCTGGATGCAGTAGTGAAGATGAATTGTAGGGAAGAATTTGCAAAGTTGTTGGTGGAGTTTGGAGCCGATTTGAGTTTATTCAGTTGCAACGAAACCCTTGGGAATAGCCATTTGATTTTGAATAATCCTTGTGCACTTTACTTCCAAATGGCTAGAGGTACGTTTGCATTTTCAGGATTTACTTAACAAACTGGTGTGTGTATATGTGTCTGCGTGTGTGTGGATGTGGGAGGACATGATATTTTTGTTGTAAAACATTATATGAAAAGCATAGCTGGTGCTTTTGTTTCAAGCTCTATTGGTAAATGTGCAATGTGGTGATAGCATCAAATTGTGATCCCATAATCACATCTCTTACCCTCGTGATGAGCAACAATACAAAGAGTGCTCTAGAACTGAACACCTTTATTTTAATGTGCCCTATTGGTGAGAATCCTCTTTTTAAAGCAAGATCCATACCAGTAAATTGAGTCAAACTGACTGATCTTCAACATACAACAACAATTTATACAAATACAGTGTCATCCAATTAGGGAGAATGTCCCCAAAGACTAAGTATAAGCCTGAACTCAGCTATGCGTAGATGGTCAAAGTGATAGATCTCCAACTGGGATTTGAAAGCAGAGAGGCAGAGGGATTTCAGGAGAGGTTCAGAGGATGGCAGCAAAGTGACTGAAAACCTGCCTGCTGATGGTGAGGGGGAGCCGGCGAGGAGTAAGAAGCAGGCCTACTAAGATGGTAGAGCAGTGGGAGTAGTTGTGGAAGTCAGATCACAGAAGGTTGCAAAGGCAGGCCGCCATGCCATTTGACAGTAATGACGAGAATCTTAATATTAATCTTCTGGGGAATTAACCCACCTGTCTTCAATTTCCGAATATATTATTGGGTGTGTTGGTGCTCCACAGCCCTTATCTTAAGAACATAAGAATTTGCTAGGCGAAAGAAGACCAAGGTCCATCTAGTTTGCCTTCCACTATCCTGGCAGTCTCTTGACATGTGTCCCAAGATATTATTTTCTAGCAGATACTTATCTAATTTGTTCTTAAAACAAACAGCATTTACTGCTTCCACTGTCTCCCTAGGGAGCCTGTTCCATAAAGTTTACTACTTGCTCACTGAAGTAGTGTTTCTGCAAATTTGTTCTGAATTTATCCCCTTTCAATCACAGGCCATGTCCTCTGATTATATTGTTCAGTATAAGATAAAACAGCTTATCACGGTCTACATTATCTATTCCCTTCAGAATCTTAAAGACAGACCGCAATCATATCGCCCCTCAACTTGCTCTTCTCCAGTGTGAACATGCCCAGTTTATCTAATCACTCCTCATAGTCCAATCCCTCCATCCCCTCAATCATTTTGCTTGCCCTCCTCTGTATTCTCTCAATGCTATTAAAACATTCCATTGCAATGAACAGTTTCCTCTGATAGTTTTAATAGTGTTACGTATCAAGGAAACATTGTTGTCAGCCGTAACATTAAATTTATACCATGAAAGTGTATTTGAAACTAATGAATGCTGCAGCATGATGTCTTTAACTGGTGATTTTAATGTTACAACTGCCCATGGGAAGTCATTTCTGCTACATAAGAATAGTCTTCAGTTAGAAAACTCAGTGACACACAGTACATAAAATTCTAATATGCAGCAATAACAACTTGCATTTATATAGAGCCCTTCACACAGGAAGAGTCTAGGAGTATTGCATATACAAAAGTATCTAATTTGATTACCAGAAATATCTTGTTGTGCCTCATAATCTACTTCAACCTCACTGCTTGTAGATCACCCATTACATATTGTAGTCAGCCTTGCCCTGTTGGTTGCACTCTCACCTCTGAGTCAGAAGCCTGTGGGTTTATAACCTTTGCCAGAACTCTGAATTCACATAGTCAAGGCTGACGCTCAGTGCTGGGGGTGTGCTGCATTTTTGGAGTTGCTGTCCTTTCAACTAATTCAACTGATATCCATTCTGCCTGTTGACCATAAAGATCCCATAGTACAATCAAAAAAGAGAAGGGAGTTTCTCCCAGTGTCATGGCCAACAATCTTCCAAATAAAATTTGTAATTTATTTCATGGATGTTTGTGGGGCATTGCTGTGCGTAAATTGGCTGCCGTGTTCGCTTACAAAACACCCAGCTTCTACACTTTACGGTAAATCTTGTCAAGCACTTTGAGACATTCGCCCAACATGAAAGGCACTATATCAAATGGAAGGATTATTATTTTATTTTTATTGTAATCAGAGATGCCTCTCCATCAAAACCACAACATATCCTGTATCTTTTATTTAAGTGATTCACATTGTGTTTTGCAGCAAATCCAAGGATACTTCAAAGTGCTTGTCGGCTTCTCATTCGAAGATGTCTGGGTGTGACAAGATTAAACTATATCAATGATTTACCACTGCCAAAGTTCCTCAAGAATTACCTCTTCTATAAACCTGTTTGATACGCAGTAACTCAATCAATGAAATGTTGGTACACCAACTGTGTGAAAGAATTAAGTTCTGCAAGATGTAACTCTAGTTTGAACAGAAACAAATAAATTGATAACCATAATTATTGTATTTCAATTTAAAAGCTATTGAGTGGCTTCCTGAACAGACAAGATGATGATTCAAACAGTGTTTTATTAATTTTAAAGATATTTGTTTGGATGATCAGTCTCATACTTTTGGAGTCCTGTAGCTCAGTGGTTAGAGCACTCGCTTTGCAAGTGAGAGACCTGAGTTCAATTCCAGGCAGGGCGAAACCTTGGGCAAGTTTCCTTACTCCACACGGCCTAATAATAATCCCTCCAAAACAAAAACAATAATAAATTGGTCATTTTCAATCCCTGACTGTTTGTGGGACATTGCTGTGCGCAATTGGCTGCCGCGTTCGCCCACAAATATACAGTCAATTCACTTTACAGTCTATTCTGTGAAGCGCTTTGGGACGTCCTCCCGACGTGAAAAGCGCTATATCAAATGCAAGGATTATTATTATTATTATTATTATATAGACACTACAGCACAATTTTGGGTTTGATCTCTATTTGCTGTTAAATTTACCACCATTGTAATGTTTGCTTATCTAGGGATTAAGTGCATGTGGCTTAGGTCAGTACATTTATTGATAGGCAGAGAATAAAAAGCATTAGCTGCCAAGGATGGAATACTTACAAACAAACTGAGACCCATTTCCCGTGTGCCTGAACCAAGGGTTAGTACGATTACATTACTTTCTGTTTAAGATTAAGAAATGATTTTTATTTGGTCAATTTTGGTCAGCAGTCAATTTTGCAGATGTTCTGATGGAGAAAGTGAAGCAAAATTTGAAAGCAGAGGGAACTAAAAAGTGTTGGACTTGTGTGTAAATAGCATTGGTTTAGCAATTGTTCCCCACTTGTTTCATAGGAAAATAAATCAACACAAGCACACGCAATGTAGTATTTTAATTACTTTATAAATATTTTAATTTATGACATTTATTGTGCTTTGGGGTTTAATATTTAATGGTGATTGGAATCACAGATGTTAGATGTTTTTTCCTATGGTCTCAGTGCTTTTCACATAGAGTAATTCATTGCAGTAATTCTGCAAGTTAGCTAATTACTATGCGTACATATATCTTAAGATTCTAAAGCTGTCGTTATGGTATTTCTTACTGTAATTCCTTAAGAATCCCGTTAGAATTCCTGTCAATCTATTGCAAATCCACCTCGAAGCAATTTATTTCCAGAGCAGGGTTGCACAGGTCGGAGTGACATGTTTATGATTCAGATTACTCTATGGAGAAATTCTGGTAAAAAATGCTGCAAATTAGTCCCTGTTTTTACATAATGATGCACATTAGTTGCAGCCCCAACCGAGTAACCACTTTGCAAACATTTTCCTTTTCTGTGGGCAAACATCTGGTGTGAACATGAATATAAACCATGAAATGTCTAGTTTTAGAATTCCATTTTGGAAATATCGTGAACACAAAGCTTTCCTCCTTATTCCATCAATCTTTAGTTTCAGCTCACTGCACTAAATCATGCTTTTATCTGAGTGACAGCCTGCACTCCAGTCTGAGTAATCAGCTTCTATGTCTGGATTGTTGCCATCAATGAAATGTATGCAGAATGTAACTTTTGAATTATAATATTTGGACTTATCGTTCAGTGATTCAAATAAAGACCTGTTATAAATCCAAACACTGAAAATGTGATCTTTTCCTCTTGAATTACAATATCTATTGAAATTCAATATTGTAATACAGGACTGTGGAGTCCTGTAGCTCAGTGGTTAGAGCACTCGCTTTGCAAGTGAGAGACCTGAGTTCAATTCCAGGCACAGGGCGAAACCTTGGGCAAGTTTCCTTACTCCACTCCCCTAATAATAATCCGTCCAAAAAAACAAAACAATAATAAATTGGTCATTTTCAATCCACAACTGTTTGTGGGTCATTGCTGTGCGCAATTGGCTGCCGCGTTCGCCCACAAATATACAGTCAATTCACTTTACAGTATATCCTGTGAAGCGCTTTGGGACATCTAGAAGACGTGAAAAGCGCTATATCAAATGCAAGGATTATTATTACTATTATTATTATTATTATTATCTAATACCCCACTGACAGACAAAACAACAACAACTTTCATTTATATACAGACCTTCACACAGGATAGTGTTTTGGAGCATTGCAGATATGCCTTTACAAAAACATCTGCGTTTGGTCTGCTTTACCAAGAGGAAGAACAGAATATGTAGCTCCTCTGCCTCAGCTACTACTTGTTGGGTTTTCATGCAGAACACCTGGGAAAAAAATGGCATTGCTTTGAATTGTTCAGTGCCCTCATGCCCTTCATGCCCTCGCACCTCCCTACCTATCCGATTTGCTCACCCCCCAACTCTACCACCCGCTGCCTCTGCTCGGCCGGCTCCAGCCTCCTGTTCGTCCTTCAACAACAACAACAACAACAACAAGATTCCATTTATAGAGCGCCTTTCACGTCAGGAGGACGTCCCAAGGCGCTGCACAGTTGGGTCATGACCCGAGCAGGGGGGAAATGGTCAGGGTGAGGGGAGGGAAGGGAGGGAGAGAGGAGGGGGGAAATGGTCAGGGTGAGGGGAGGGAAGGGAGGGAGCGAGGAGGAGGAAGAGAGTCGAGAGGGGAGCTGAAGGCACGGTCAAAGAGAAAGGTTTTGAGACCGGCCTTGAAGGAGGAAAGGGAGGAAGCAAGGCGAAGGCACTGGGGGATGGAGTTCCAGAGCCTCGGGGCTGAGAGGCTGAAGGCCCGACCACCGATAGTAGGGCGGTTGGGGCGGGGGACGTGGAGCAGACCGGAGCCAGAGGAACGGAGGGTACGGGCAGGTAGGTAGGGGGATAGTAGGTTGGAGAGGTAGGAGGGAGCAAGGCCGTGAATGGCCTTGTAGGTGAGGATGAGGATCTTGAAATCAATCCTCTGGGGGATGGGGAGCCAGTGGAGGCGAGCGAGGGTGGGAGTGATGTGGTCCCGAAGCCTGGTGCGGGACAGTACACGAGCTGCAGAGTTCTGAATGACCTGCAGCTTGTGGAGGGAGGTGGCGGGAAGGCCGGCGAGGAGAGAGTTCCCATAGTCCAGCCTTGAGGTGACAAAGGCGTGAACCAGGGTTTCAGCAGCGTGAGGGGTGAGGTAGTGCCGTAATCTGGCGATATTCCGGAGGTGATGGAAGGCGGTGCCAGTTGTGGTGCGGATGTGAGGGAGAAAGGACAGCTCAGGGTCGAACAAAACGCCGAGGTTCCTGACTGGCTTTGAGAGGTGGAGAGTGCAGCCTTGGATGCTGATGGTGTCAGCGCCTGAGGTGCGGAGGCGCTGACGTGAGCCAATCAGGAGGGCCTCGGTTTTTCGCACGTTGAGCTGAAGAAAGTTGTCTCTCGTCCAGGACTCGATGTCGGACAGGCAGGCTGTCAGGACATCGGTGGTCGTGGAGTTGAGAGTAGAGGAGGAAAGGTAGAGTTGGGTGTCATCCGCATACATGTGGAAGTTAACCCCATGTTTGCGGATGATGTCACCGAGGGGGAGCATATAGAGGGTGAAGAGGAGGGGACCGAGGACAGAGCCCTGAGGGACACCACATGAGACAGTACGGGGGGTGGAGGAGAAGCCATTCGTTGAGACGAAGTGAAGACGGTGGGAAAGGTAAGAGCTAAACCATTCAAGGACAGTGCCTTGAAGGTTGAGGTGGGAGGACAAGCGGTGGAGTAGGATAGCGTGGTCGACCGTATCGAATGCTGCCGATAGGTCGAGGAGGACGAGGAGACAGAGGGAGCCCTGGTCACAGATAGTCAGGATATCATTGGTGACCTTGACCAGGGCAGTTTCTGTGCTATGAGCAGCACGGAAACCTGACTGAAGGGGTTCAAAAAGAGAATGGGTGGAGAGGAAAGAGCGCAGTTGGGAGGCGACAACTCTTTCCAAGACCTTGGAGAGAAAGGGGAGGTTGGAGATGGGCCGGTAGCTTGATAGCTGCGACGCATCAAGGGAGGGTTTTTTCAGGGTGGGCGTGATGATGGCAGTTTTTAATGGAATGGGGACAGAGCCAGAGGAGAGGGACAGGTTTATGATGTCAGTGATGTGTGGGGCAAGAAAATGGAGCTGGGAGATAAGGAGTGGAGTGGGGATGGGGTCAAGGGAGCAGGTGGTTGGTTTTAGGGATAGGATGAGTTCAGTGACAGAGGGTGGGGAAACGGGTACGAAGGTGTGTAGGGGAGGATGGGTAGGAGTCGGAGTGTGGGAGGGAAGGGTGGGTGGTGGGTGGAAGTTGGAGGGGAAGTGACCGCGGAGCGGATTCCCTTGATCTTGGATTCAAGGAAATCCAGCATCTCCTCGCAGTGAAGGTTGGAGGAGATGACCTGCGCGGGGTGGCGGGGGGGACGGAGGAGTCGGGATGTGGTGGAAAACAGTAGCCTGGGGTTGTTCTTCGCCTCCAGGATTATCCTGGAGTAGAAGGACGACTTGGCCGAGGCTAGAGTGGAGCGGTAAATTTTGAGGAGGTCCAGCCAGATTTGTCGGTGGACCGTTAAGCCGGATTTGACAAAGGTGCGCTCAGCAGCCCGCACCTGGCATTTCAGTGAGCGGAGGTGGGTGGTGTACCAGGGGGAGGAGCGGGAGTAGGAGACAGTGCGGGAAGTGATGGGGGCAAGAGTATCGAGTGTGGAGGAGAGGATATTGTGGAGGAGGGAGAGAGGAGAAGAGGGGTCGGTGAGGGTTGAAGGCCAGAGGGAGAGGAGTTCTGAGGACTCCAAGGCATCGGTTAGGGATTGTGGGGGTAACTTCTTCCAAGGGCGGTAGAAGATGGTGGTGGGTCTGGTGGAGGTGGGGAGGGGGGTGGAGGTGGTGAAGGAGATGAAGTAGTGGTCGGAGATGGCCTTGTCGGTAATAGTGACATCCGAGACACTGAGGCCCCGGGTGATCACCAAATCGAGTGGGTGGCCGTGACTGTGAGTGGGGGAGTTTATGTGTAGGGAAAGGTTGAGTGAGGAGAGCAGGGAAGAGAAGTCTGTGGAGATGGAGCAGGAGGGGGTGAAGTGCAGGTTAAAGTCGCCCCAGGATGATGAGGCGATCAGAGGAGAGGCAAAGAGATGTGAGGAGTGTTGAAATGTCAGAGATGAAGGTGGGAGAGGTTTTAGGGGGCCGGTAGAGGAGGAGGATTTTAAGGGAGAGGAATGAGGGGTGGGAGAGGGTGAGGTGCTCGAAGGAGGGGAAAGAGCCAGAGGAGTAGGGGGATAGGGCAAGTGGTGTCCTTGGGATAAGGGCAACACCACCGCCACGGCGGTTGGGGCGGGGGATGTGGTGGGAGGTGTAGCCGGGTGGCGTGGCCTCCGTGAGGGGGAAGGTGTCGCCTGGGGTGAGCCACGTTTCTGTCAAGGCCATGATGTCAATGCTCTCATCAAGGATGAGATCGTTGATGACCAGGGCCTTGTTGCAGAGGGAGCGGACATTTTGCAGTCCGATGTGGAGGGAGCGGTTGAGAGAAGGGTGTGTGGGAGGGGAGGGGGGTCCAGGTTGTGAGGCAGGGGTGGGGGAGATGGGGGTGAGGGAGGAGAGGTTGACTCCCCGGGTCTGTGTCCGGGGTGGCTGGCGAGTGTGGTGGGGAATGGGGCAGTCCGGTGTGGCTGCTGCTGGACAGCCAACGCCGGAGTGCCGCGGTGAGCCCCGGCGGAGGATTCCCAGACTGGAACAGAGGGAGGTTGTGGGAGGGTCAAGTGGGGATAGAAGACGAGAGGGACCCCCTCTCTCCAGATGATAATGTTCAAAATTCTAAAAGCATTTGAGAGGGTGAATTGTGAAAGTTTCCTTACTCCACACAGAGCCTAATAATAATCCCTCCAAAACCAAAAACAATAATAAATTGGTCATTTTCAATCTACGACTGTTTGTGGGACATTGCTGTGCGCAATTGTCTGCCGCGTTCACCCACAAATATACAGTCAATTCACTTTACAGTGTGTTCTGTGAAGCGCTTTGGGACGTCCTCCCGACGTGAAAAGCGCTATATCAAATGCAAGGATTATTATTATTATTATTATTAAGAGGTGGGATTTTTAGCAAGTAGCCATTGGAGTCCTGTAGCTCAGTGGTTAGAGCACTCGCTTTGCAAGCGAGAGACCTGAGTTCAATTCCAGGCAGAGGGCGAAACCTTGGGCAAGTTTCCTTACTCCACACAGAGCCTAATAATAATCCCTCCAAAAAACAAAACAATAATAAATTGGTCATTTTCAATCTACGACTGTTTGTGGGACATTGCTGTGCGCAATTGGCTGCCGCGTTCGCCCACAAATGTACAGTCACTTTACAGTGTGTTCTGTGAAGCGCTTTGGGACGTCCTCCCGACGTGAAAAGCGCTATATCAAATGCAAGGATTATTATTATTATTATTATTATTGAAACTGTCTATGACATAATTCAACAGGTAATTAGACAGAACATTTAAAAAAAAGATTTAAAAGGGTATGGAAAAAGAGCAGGGAAAAAGAATTAGAGTAGTTGTCTCCAGCTAATATGCCACAGGCATGATGCCCTGAACAGCCTCCTTCTGTGCTGAAATAACCGTTTCTATGCTAGTTAATATTCAAATTGTCTAGAAGCCTCTCTGAGTGACTGAGTGTATGCTGTACAATAAGGCTCAAGATCAGAAGAGGGAAGTTGAAATCAGATTTAATTATTTTA